TTAATTTCTACACATATATATGTAGGATGATTGAAATGTGTGGAAAGGAACGTATGAATGTGTAAAAGAGAAGGGGTATGAGGTGAGCGAGAAGGAATATAAAAAATGGAGTACGAAAGACTGAGGACGAACGCAAGAAGATTAGCGGGGTGTAAAAAAATATTGTATAAGAAGAAATATACGTATTTTCAAGCTACGAACGCCTTTATTTTTCCCACATATACACAAACACCAAAGCACATACACTCATAATAACAATAATTGTTAACTAGACATTTTAATATAATCTACTATTATTTCATAATATATTAAATTTGTGTTTATTTATTTATTTTATTTATTTATTCATTTTGGGAAACAACAGCATTGAGTTACACATGAATATACATAATTCAATTAAGTAGTACAGTAGCCTAGACAGTTTCCACTGCTAAACACGTGCAATGCTATGTCGAACAAACAATGAACAACGTTACAATTAATAATTTAAGTTTTTTTTTTTTTTTTTTTATATTTTCTGCTAAGGGCGAGGAGGTCCCTCCTGTATCAGGTATTCCTTACTTCCTACTGGGATATTTTTAACCACAATTGTTATCACGAGAAATCGTATAAGAAAAAAATATTTTTTCATTTTGTTTTTCGTTTTTCAGATCTTATGACCAGCCTTAGCAGAAATTATATTATAGACTTAATTTGATGTCTGATCAATGTATGTGTTGTCTAATATTTATTAAGTTTCGAATATCAATTATAATAATGTTAAAGTGAACCGATATTTATAATGTTACTATTTTCTTTTGTCAATTTAATGCCACAGTATTATCTACTGGTAAAATTAATTCTAGTCTTTTAAATGAAATTCATTCTTTCTCATTGAATTTTACCATAAATAAGCTATTTTTGAATTGGTTTGAATTCGAATTGACTCATAATTATGTGATCGAGAATCATCTCATATAATTACTGTATATTAAATAAATAATTACCGTCATATATAAAAAATAATTTCCGTGATAATGATAAATAAATCAACAAATATTATACATTTTACATATTGCAGGTTCCAAGATAAGAAATTAAAGTCCACGTATAATGGAATAGATGGATCTGAAACATCGAAATAACCACAACAGCCAGGCCCGAGTTAAGCTGAAAAAGTTTCTACATTGACTCGACCAGGGAACCGGAAAACGGAAACCATGATAAATAATAATTTTTGCTTTTCCATCTCGCACCATACGATATCACACAGCTGTTTTTAACTCTTTTTGTGTTTGTTTCATTATTATCATCATCGTCAGCCCTTTTACGTCCCCACTGCAGGGGCTTAGGCCTTCCTTATGGATGGGCAATGACTCTCCACGCTGGCCCAATGCGGATTGGAGGGTATTAACGACTGCAAAATGCAGCCGGGTCCAATGGCTTAACCTTCCGAAGCGCAGAGTAGCCCGAGATAATAATTTTTTGATCACCCATCCCGTGACCGACCCTTGCGAAAGTCGCTTAACGACAACGATCCCGGGCTGCGGCGCTTATCCACTACGCCACCGAGCTACTCGTTGTTTGTTTGTTTACTCTATATTATATATAGTATATCCTTTTTGCTCAAATCTTTATTTGGTAATAGCTCTATAATAAATAGGCATATGTAAGTATTAAGTTAGAGAGTAGTTCGATTCTTCCCACAAGTTTGATTTGGTCATACTTTATTAAGGATCAAGTGCCTAATCCCCTTGAGGAATTTTGTATCCACAAAATATCGATAAGCGTAATATCATGTTCAAATAAAATCACTCTTATAAAAACATAATAAAGGGCATTTTGGGTTGGCCAGTTGATGGGATGATTCGATCACGAAAAACCTTAATAATTTGAGTATTACGTGATTTTATTGCCAACGGTTTGTCTTATTAGTAGTTGTTTATTGGAAGTTTAGTTGTGTATGAAAGATATAAAAGTGTAACAAGTCTTACTTTTTTGTGTAACTAAGATTTTTGTTGCAAATATATTTATAACTATTTTTTCTAGTTGTTTCAGATTTGCAAGTGCTTGAGCTACTTAGTTTATTTTTATTTATTTATTTTTTATTTCTACCAATTGTGGTGTTAGATAATATGCATTTAGATTTTATCACAGAGCTAACTATTCTGTTCTTGATGAAAAAAGTTCCTTGTATCATTAGTGATAATTTGAAAGAAGACAAGCAAGCCATTGACGATGAATGGAAAATCATTATTCCGTAATTTAGGTTTGTCCTTGAAATTCCTTTCTTTTCAGAATGTTTGGTGTTATTCATGGTATCCCTAAATTGAAAACTATATAATCAGACAAAAAAAGAATAATTGTGTTCCGATGTTTGATTTGTGAGAAAGACGTGGACAAAAATATTTAAAATAAAATTTGCATTTTTAATAATTTTCCACGCGTGTTTAACTCATATAGGTTAATATTATATGAATATTGCGTAATTCTCTCGAAATAATATATATACAGGACAAATATCAAACTCCTTTATGGAGTCGATAAAAAAAGTACGGCAATTTCCTATCTCATATACTTACGGCAAATCGATAAATGACCAGCGGCAACACGAGTACGAACGGAGTTCGTCGCGAACAAAAATTTGCAACAAGGAATTTTTAAAACATATACCCAGACTAGCGTGTTTCAGCGGCGTCGCATATGTGATATACAAAATAAAACATATCACTCCGGGTTAAAGTAATTTGGAAATGGCAACAAATGTTTTCCTAATACTTTTTATTTTTCTCTTCACAATAGTATTATATATGAGTCATAAATTTTTAAATTAAAATCTAATGCGACTAAAGACTAGACCTATAAAATTCCCATAGGTATCCCTGTACAAACAGGTCACTAGACCTACATTATTTAGAGACATTTTCGATATTATTCTTTATTTCTTTACTTTATTTCCGTATCTTAATGAAAATCTGCTGACTCTTTGACTTTAGTAATTACTTTATGTATTTGGTAATTGTATTTAAGTAGTCCTTCGGATATCAACCGAATGAATTCACCCGCTGTATGTGCCCTCTTCTTGTAGTTTTTCAGTGGGTTACAGCCCGTCCGCATGCGTCTATTCAAAAATATAATCATTTTTTTGTTGATATTTTAATAATAAACAACAGGATCTTAAAATGACCTTTCATCATTACTAATCTTCTTTGTTGTGTGATTGCTATCTCTACAGTATAGTCCTACTCCTCCTATATAGTCGTACTCTATAGCATCCAAAACATTCAGATGTTCGGTTGAATAAATAAAATAATTTTCATTTGATTAATTAGCTATTAAAATATTATATAGAATAGAAGTTTATTGAGGTGTAGAACACAAGGAAGCCATTGAAATTTTGTGTTCTTTTTTTTACATAATTTATTCAACGGGTAAACAATATTTGAAAAACTAGGTATGGTCGTAGATAGTAATTTGAATTGCGTCTATGTTAAACCAAAGCGTTTAACATCGTCGCAATCCAATTTAAACTTTTAACATCGTAGCACAGGATATTTTTGCATAGTTTCAATATTGCTTTCCTCCGGTAAAATACCATTTGACAAGATTCTATGGCCCAAATAAACAATCTCTTTACGCAGAAAACCACATTTTGTTGGATTCCGTTTTAAATTTAATTTTCTAAATCACATAAAACACTGATTATATTTTTATTATGATTTTAAATAGCACTCCTATAACTATTCAATCATCTAAATATAATTTAAACCACAGAATGCGGACTTATAATTTAAAATAGACATAGCTATAGCATAGTCATAAGTCTCGAAAAGACACTAGGCGACGTTTTCAATAGGACTGAAAACTTCGCCAAGTGTATTTTCGAGACTTATGACTATGCTATTTCTTTTGGTACATTTTTGCATCTCAAGTAAAAGTGGTTTACATGCATGAATCTTCGTCTAATTCTAATGGGTACATATTATCTATTATATATACTAAAAGCTGTATATTTACGGGAATCATTATTAAGAAATAATTGATAAATTTGAAAATAACTAATTTCAAAAAATATATGTTATAAGAGAATCTAGAATATCTGTGATATTGGGAAGTGGAAATTTATCATCTACGATACGATTACTTAACTGTCTGCAGCTTATTACTATAAGCTATATTTTTCTTTAGACCTATCTACCTTTTTTGGGACAAGTAAGACAGGACTTGACCACTCGGACGTGGCCTCTCCAATTATGTCTATTTCTAGCATTTCGTCTGTCAGATTTCGTATTTCTTCCCTTAATGATATCTTACGGCATGAATTAAGGGAGGAAATACGTAATAGAGGATTAGCAATTTAAATATCGTGTTTTTCCCCATTTTCGAAGAACTATCGTAAATGGATCTGGTAATGACATAGTTTTTGTAAATGTCATTACTCTTATTAGAGCTGGTGAGTTTCTTGCTCGTTCTTCTTATCAGCCAAAAGACGTCCTGAACGAGTGGTAGGGAAAAAATGTTGGACGATTCAAAAGTACTTTTAAGAAGTCTATTTGAATAAAGATTATTTTGACTTGACTTTGAAACACTAAGTCGGTATTTTTTATATAAATAACCCTTATATAACTTACTACAAGTATATTATTAATAAAGGAAATTTCTTTTGAGCTTATCTATTTTGTTTCAATTATCAGATCAGATTTATTGTTAAAAATATTACAATAATTATTGTTAATAAAATGTATAAATGGGTAAACACATTAAGTATCTAACATTTGTGTTCTAATTTATAAAAAGTAGTGCGTTGTTTTCTTCACAATTGCTTTGATTTGTAATATTTTTTATAGCTTATACAATATATTGTACGCATAAATGATTGCATGATTGTTCTTAAATAAAATTTATTCAACAAAAGTCTTTATTATATTATGTACCAAATTTCAAATATGTCGCTTTCTTTTGATGTGACAATAATACAAACAGGCACACACTTTAGAATGTAATATGTTTTCTTTATATTTGAATACGATCATGATTTATCATTATTCTCTTGTGTTTCTGTCATTCTGTTTAGTTCTTCTAACTCCAGTTGATTTGACACTGAAAGTAAATTGGCATCATTAGCTGAAGCAAAACCGTTATGCCCTCATACAAGAAGAGGTTAGAATGGTGATCATCTGTCCTATTTGTAATCTTTCGCTGATTCATTAAAAATCAATCTATTTAAAAATTATCATAATAACTGCCTTTACGATAAATAATCTTCAATCCAGGTTGAGCTTCATTACATTTAATAATAATTAATCAGAACTACATTCGGTTCATTGGCTATATTTGAATGAACTTCAAACTCGGTCTCTAATTTTTTAACGGGTCATACATATAATTATATGACAAATATATACGAGTGTGTTACCTTAAAAGTATTCATTACAGAGAGCGAAAGGAATATGTAGGATGTGACAGATGCTTGTTATGTGAAATTATGAAAGTCAAAAGAGTGGAGGCATTCTATTTTGCCTGTTGCCTTGCTATTTGAAGCAACTTATCATAGAGCATTGCAACCATTATATCAGAAATGTATTGTATCTTAAGATATCTATAAACAGATATGACTAAGTCGTTAATGTCTTTTTTTTATTAAATCTCGGTGTAGCTATATTTTTATATTTTTGGAGGTGGAAAATTTATAGAAACGTTTAAAATTAATTTAATCCAAAAACAAATACCAAAAAAGACATACTGTTGTGATAGCCACATTTTCTCTTGGTCCTGATCTCGTCCCAGACTTGTCTTTCCCCGCTTCCAAGGATGGTGTACGCAATATTACCCAATGCATATATGGAAGCAAGGAGTATGAAGACAATTCTCCATCGCGTTAGCGAATTCTGTGAAATTAAACGCTTGATCACCTCTGTGTACTCCAAGATAATACTTAGATAGAATAGCTTACAAAACTTGAATACGTTCAATAAATAAAACAAACTGTTCACATAGTCTCGAATCTGGACGATTGTGGTTGTACTTCTTGTGGTTTTATAATAATAAACACAACAGGAATGATATAGTGAAGCTAAAATTCATTATAAGTGTTACAATTAGTATATTCGATTAGTACTCCATGATTTTTAGTGAAAAAGAGAGGTCGCAGGGTTTTCTTTAAACATTAGTCTAATTGCAATAGCTGACAAAAATCTGATATCATCCACATTTAGCAGGTTAGGAATATCGTTGTAATGGAAAATCGAAATCTTTGTAACGGAAATCATCGTATTTAAGTGCCACCAAAACACATCTTTAGAACCTGGAGAAGTCGCTTAACATGATAAACGAGCTAATCGATTACTCTGTATGATTACGTCAAGGAAAGTAATAAGCGTTCAGGGAATTACCACGTCATCTGTTAATATAAACCCAACTGCTATTGGCGTTAGAGCACCAACCAGACCAGCAATCGAACTGGTCATAAGCAATAACGACCCAGGGAAATTTTCCGACATATCTTGAAGGCTTTTCTGTAACAACAAATTTGTATATGACTAGCTGTTTTTGGCAACTTTGTCCATATAAATTACAGCATATATCACCCGTGTATACTTTAGCGTAGGTTAAGAAACAATAAAAAAAACCATTCAGTAGTTTCAGAGCCCTTTAAATGCAAATAAACAAACCAACATACAATAAAATCTTTCCTTTCCAAAGAATTATTGTAGATTTGGAAAACGTAAATGTTCAAATATTAGATTGAAATACTTATGAACTCTTTCTATTTTAATATCTCTTGTGATAAAGTCTACTTAATTACTCTATAGGATTCAATGGGAGAATCAAATCTTCATGCTTAGAATTACCAATTAAAATTTCAATCAGAATCTCACTCACTAGAAACCCCGAGTATTGGAAACCGACCGATGCCAATGTTGCAGTTAATACTATAACCGCCACATCAGTTCGTGCGCCAATTAAATTGGGTAGAACCGTTAGTCCGCTCACCGCCACAAACGCACCTGAGAGAGGCATACGAGTATAGATCAGACTACATATAGTCAACGTTTATAAGTTTAATAAAGATATTAATCTATTTTTCTGTTTAGCTAATTATCATATAGCTGTAATAAGATCGACTACTTTGTTGCGTATGCAAAATACATATATATATATATATATATATATATATATATATATATATATATATATATATATATATATATATATATATATATATATCTAAATTTAATCAACACTAGTTGATTATTTACGAGAGTAACTATTTTGAGGCTTCCAGTTTATACTCGTAATAATGCGGTAGTCTTTGGTAATTATATTCTGCAATTTCTACTTCTCCTAATAAATCGAGGCATTTGCTTTAATAAGAGTAGTACAAAGAAGTGCAATCCTGTGGTTTATTCTTGAAATATTTTAGTGGGTATTTTAAAATGTTTAAGTTCTTTGCTTAAATTTATACAATATAAAAATATAATAGACAACATCAGGCACATTACTCAGTTTCCAAGATGAGTAGCTAAAGCCTCCGTATTATGGAGTATCTGAGACAACAATGGTGCCGCAACACCCATATCCAAGACAATAGAGAAAGTACTTTTATCCAGGTACATTTATTATATTATATTATATATAGTATATTATATTTATATGTAGAGGTATGTATATGTTATTTGTATGTATATATGTAGGTATGTTTCTCTCACAATGTAAGACACCATCTTCTACCCGTCTATTTAGTAACAGTCCAGTCTAACCTACGGTTGCCTGGCAGAAATTGCTCTTTAGCGATAAGGCCGCCGATTGTACAACTTAACTGTATAAATTGTATTTTCTCTATAATTTATGGTGTACAATAAAGAATTTATTCATTCATTCATTCATTCATGACCGAGAATCGAACCCAGGGCCTTAGAGATGGTCACACTTTGAAATCGGCGTGGGAACCACTTGGCTACGGAGGTCGTACTGTACATCATATTTTTAGAACGCGCTCAAATTTATGTCTTTTTTATCTTCGCTCCTTTTCTGTTTTTTCACAAAACATACATATCCAAAAACTTAATTAGCTCGATTATTTTGTACTGTACTGTAGCTTAACATTGCTTACCTATAGCGTTGATCAATTTCCTTAGGTGTGTTGCATTGAAGAGATTGCTGACGTTAGCGAAGTTGGTCAGCCAGTCGATGGTGGGTGAGGTCATCGCGTGCAAAATCCACATTGCAATAACTGCTAGAAGAACGTAGAACGCACTCTGATAATAAGATAAAGTAATGTATTGAAAATGCACTTTTGAATTCTCCTAGTATTACGATATATATATATAAAGGTCCCTCCAGGTTAATTTACACAGTAATATGTAAATTAACAACTGCACAACATTTTATGATCCCCTATGAATTGCATTACATAGAGAGAACGGGCAATAACATTGATATATCAACAACTGGAGATACAACCAAGACCAATGGCTTATCTAACCTTTCCATCCACAAACGAATGCGATTTAATACAATTTTAGTCACCCATCCAAGGGGCATCATTTGCGACAGCAGCTTTACTAGTAGACATCTTCCCACTATAACATTTATCAACAATACCGATATAAAAAAAGCTTTATTCTTTGTTTTATGTCAAGTAAACATTATTTTCATTGTATCAAAAAACATTTAATTCAGAAATTAACTTATGCGCTATACTTACATCATTTATTGATATATTTAAGCTGGTTAAGTATACTGGTACATCTACCAGGTAGAATACAAAGATGGCACTGCTCGCAGCATGCGCACACGTCACACCCCAGAACTGACGCGTCCTCAGCACTGTACGCCAAGGTACAGTTATTGGTCTCTGCAAACGATAATAAAATACAAACAAACGTTGTAAAATGAAGTTATAGTTATATTCATACAGTAAAAGTAAAAAAATAAACGTATTGAAAGTATTTTTGAAGGTCCAAAATTTTTCACGTCCAACGTCCAAACCCGTTCAGGGCGTCTTTTGACTGACAAAAAGAATAAGCGAAGGAAACCCATGAGCACTTGCAGAAGAAACAAGATCTCTTTATATTGTTACATTATGCTTTCCACGTCAACAAATTAGATTTAAGGCGAGGAGCTTTACGGTTCTGCAGCGAATGTCACGAAGTGTAAAACACGTAAATATTAATTAATCTCTTGATTCAATATTTGATTCTAATTCCTACATTTTATACTTTGAGACTATCGTTACAGTGATGTGGCTTTTGTTTTACAATAAAACGCAAAAAAATGTCGTTTGATTAATTTGGAAAGCTAAGTAACACTCTGAGTACATCTTTTTTAACATATTTTATAGAAAATATAGTAAGAGATAATGTAGTGTTAGATGCGTAGGTTGAAGAGGCAAAACATGTAAGCTTGCAGACTGAACGATGTGAAGAAGCTTTCGGGATCGTGAGGATTCAGGTGTTAGGAGGTTGGTATTAAAATCACCCACGATGATGATACGTGCATATTCAGTCCCAAACGATTCCAAAATCGCCTCAAATTCGGTGAAATAATCAAGAGGACAGTATACCACTCCGAGAATTGGCTTTGCACGTCACGATACATTCTCCAGGAACAGGTACTTAGCCCAGAATCAGAGGAAACAAACACCTTATAAGAAAAATACTACGTATTGTGTTTTTGTTTATTAAATTATACGACAGACTTGTTGAATAGTTATTTTAATTAATATATGACTTACTATTATTGACATGACAAGTTAGTGGCGGGCCGGTGATGTTGTGCCAGTGTTGCCATAGATAATATAACATAACATCTCCCTTTTTATAAAGTATTTTAAATATCTAATTTAAAATTGTACCAAACAAATTAACTTAAACAAAAATGTTATAGATAACAAAACACAAGTAATTCTGCATGAAACAGAACTTTTACGTCATTTGAGTTTGACATTTTTATATTGACAGTTTGACATAACCTTTTATTATGTAAACAATACAGGAATGAAATACATTGTCAAAAATAACAATATAAACAAACTATTACATTTGTCCTTACACAGATAATTACAAACTTAATAATAAGTAATACAATGTGTTTAAAACTGAAGTTTTATATTCTTACTTAAATTTGCCTTAATTCATACAACATATCTTTTAGGAACTTTGATTTCTCGACCTGACCTACTATAATGTTTGGTGGGATCTTTTAACTGAACAGAAGAATCTGCATCAAGACTTTCAGGAGTTTTATTTAAAATATGCTGAGAATGTGATGGGGAAGGGGGACTAAACAAATAATTTGGAGTAGATGGTTTAATGATATGTTGTCTATTTCTTCTATATGTTCCATCAGGACTTTTAATTATATAAGATCTCGGCTGTGAACAAATACTTTCAACAATACCTGGGGTCCAAGAAGATTGAGGATGTTTTTGAAACATTATATGATTTCCTACATCAAGAGGATCAAGATCTTTTACATTTTTGTTATAAGATTGTTTCATTTTTTTAATATATTTATCATTATGCAATTTGAGTTGTTTATAATTACACATTTTTGGTTTTAATTCTTTTTCTAATATAGGTAACTTTGATCGAAGCTTTCTGGACATACATAATTGTGCAGGGGAACATAAATGATTTTTAGGAGTGTTTCGATATTGCAGTAAAGCCAAATAAGGATCTGTATTGTCCAATTTACATTTTTTTAGCATATTTTTAATTGTGCCAATGGTACGTTCAACTAGACCATTTGAACGGCTTAAATATGGACTAGATGTTACATGTTCAATGTTCCAATCTATAGTGAATTGTTTAAAGGCTGCAGAATTCATAGGGGGACCATTATCTGAGATTAATGTATGGGGAATACCGTGACGAGCAAAAATTGATTTTAACTGAGTTATGACATGACTACTACTATAACCATTATTTAAAAGAGCAATTTCCACATATTTGGAGAAATAATCAACTAGGATAAGATAAGTTTTATGATCAAATTCAAAGAAGTCTAACCCTACCTTGTACCAAGGGATGAATTTGTAATCATGAGGCATTAAACTTTCTTTTGGGTTACTTTTTCGATATGTAAGACAAATTTCACAATTTCCAATATAATTATTTATATCATGATTGATATTAGGCCAAAAGATTGTATTTCTAGCTAACTGCTTACAACTATTCATACCTTGGTGACCTTCATGTAACAAAGTGAGAAATTCTTTTCTTAATGACATAGGTATTATAACTCTATTTGACAAAAATACTAAATTGTTTGTATAATGAATATCTTCTTTGACTGAAAAAAATGGTTTTATAGAATCTTCTACTAGTTTTTTAGTGTTGGGAAACCCATTTTTACAATAATAAATTAATTTTTGTAATGTTTCATCTTTAGAAGTAGCCTCCTCTATTTGATTAAGTTTATGTGAACTCATTGTCAGGTTTGCAATCAATAAATTGATGTGTAATTTAATATCATCTTCGAAATCAGACAATTCATTAACGGGAAGTGCTGCCCTAGATAAAGTATCAGCAATATATAGGTATTTACCTGGTTTGTATATAACATTTAGGTCATAAGGTTGAAGACGAAGCATTATTCTCTGAAGTCTAGGAGGAATTTTAAAAAGAGGTTTACTAAATAAGCTTATCAATGGTTTGTGATCAGTTTCTACAGTGATTCTGTTTCCATAAATATATTGATGAAATTTAGTGCATCCAAACAAAATAGCAAATAATTCTTTCTCTATCTGAGAATAATTTTGCTGTGACTTGGTAAGTGAAGCTGAACCATAAGCAATAGGGTTTCTATCATGGGAGATTACTGCCCCCATGGCATTTTTAGATGCATCAACAGACAAAGTTAATTGTTTCTTGGGATCAAAATAAGTTAATATAGGAGCATTGCTTATAAGAGATTTTAAAGAATTAAATTCTTTTTCATGACTGTCTGTCCAAGACCAAACTGTATCCTTGTTTATAAGCTGTCTTAAATGACAAGTTTCTTTTGATAAATCTTTAATAAAACTGCCTAGAAAATTAATCATGCCTAAAAATCTTTGAACATCATAAACACATGTAGGGCGAGGCATCTTACAAATAGATTCGACTTTAGAAGGATCAACTGAAACTCCATTTTTATTAAATATGAAACCTAAATATTTTACTTCTGACTGACAAATTTTAGATTTATCAGGGTTGAATTTCAAATCTATTTCTCTGGCTCTGTCTAACACCTGTTTTAATATTTTATCATGTTCTATTTGAGTGTTTGCATAAACTAAAAAATCATCCATCATAATTTTAAGACCCTTGATGTCACTAAAGCGTGAAACCATCTCTTTATGAAAGATTTCAGGTGCTGCATTTATGCCAAATGGTAACCTTAAAAAGCGATATCGGCCATATGGTGTTATAAAAGTACAACATTTAGATGAAGGTTCATTTAATTTAATATTCCAAAATCCTGATTTTGCATCTAAAGTTGAAAAGAACTGTGCACCATGGAGCTCTGACTTAATTTCATCAATGTGCGGGAATGGATAATGTGACCTCATTATTGCATTATTTAATTTACGTGGATCAAGACATAATCTTATAGAGCCATCCTTCTTTGACACTATTACTAGTGAGTTAACCCATTCAGTAGGTTCTGTGACTTTAGTTATGATACCAGACTTTTCTAAATTTAGAAGTTCTTTTTGTACTTTATCTTGCAATTGAAAAGGGATTTTTCTACATACATCTACACTTGGCTGACTATCAGGCTTGAGAGTTAAATTACACTCATAATCTTTAATGCATCCTATACCAGTAAATACATCACGATATTTGTTAAACCAATTCTGTGACTGTGACATACCTGACAATGACTGATTTTGATGTTTTGATTGAATGGTTGACTGCAAATGAGACTGATTATTATCTAAATCAAATGTGACATGACTAATTCTTTTTATTAGTTTCAAATATTTAGCTGATTCTCTACCTAAAATATTTTGGCAATTTGTTTTTATCACCTGAAAATCAAGTGTATATTCTTTATTATTATACTGACAAACTATCTTACCATGACCAACAGTGGGGATGACTTGACCTGTAAATGTTGTTAGTTTGGCATTACTTTTAGTTAATGATTTGACTGACAGGCCTAGACCCAAGTAAGTAGACAATGACAAAATATTTGCATCAGCACCGGAGTCAATTAATAATGATACTATACAATTATTTACTAGCAAGTCGACTTTCCAAGCATTTGACAATTCTGGTTTATCTACAAGATTTATTACAGACCCAGTGAATTGATTGTCATTTTCACTACCAACATTATCATAGAAAATAGGATTTACTATTTTAGACTTACAGACTTTGGCAAAATGATTAGGCTTATGACACTTATGACATGTTGCACCAAAAGCTGGACACTTAAACCTGTGCACTTGACCACATTTTCCACAATTTGTTTTTAATGGTGATGGTGACTTTGAGTGTGGTTTTCTTGAGATATGACGATTACGACTTTGTGACCTCGACTGATGATAGGGATTGCTTGTTCTTGCCTGACTGTTTGATTTGAACTCTTGACTATGACCTGACAGATGACTTGATTTTAAATTGGCGATGACAGACTGTTCTTGACTGTTGACTGATATGAGTTGCTTGGCTTGTTTACGACAACTTTCTAGTGATTTAGCAATATTTATAGCAGCATCTAAAGTAGAAGGATTTTCTTGAAGCAATTTCTCCTTAATATAGTAATTAGTATCGTTAAGATTCCAACTAAAAATATCTTTTAATAGGCTGTCGTGCATGGTATCAAAATTACACTGCAATGCAATATTTTTTAGATCTGTAATGTAAGAGTCCAAAGATTCTTCTTCCTTTTGTTTGCGATTAAACAATTTGTGTCTCTCCATAGTAATGTTAACTTTTGGGCTAAAGTATTCTGTGAATTTTAGTTGCAGTTCTTTTAGACTGATTTTATCGATTTCCACATTAAATGAATAAAATATGTTCAGACAATCAGTGCCAATAAGATGGAGCAACAGTGCGACTTTTCTGTCGTCTGGTTCGTTATCCAGATTATATGCCCTCAGATAAATTTTATATTTTGTTAGCCAATTTTTCCAACATAATGATAAATTTGACGCAGTAGTATTCATTGGTTCAATTGATTGTAGTGGAAGGCGCACTGTAGACCCACTAAATACCTGGGAAGTCTTTGGTTCCGCCATCTTCTTGTACGCCACGTGCCGTGCCGACTTGGTGTCAACCACAAATTTGAAAACGGCGACGCGATTGCGATGACTACTTTCTGTTTATAAGTATTATGAGTTGTCGAAACCACACCTGATATTGTGTTTTTGTTTATTAAATTATACGACAGACTTGTTGAATAGTTATTTTAATTAATATATGACTTACTATTATTGACATGACAAGTTAGTGGCGGGCCGGTGATGTTGTGCCAGTGTTGCCATAGATAATATAACATAACACTACGTAAATATATGGCTTTCATAGTAAAAAATATCGTACCTTTCTGTATAAGCTCTGTGCCTCTCGTATATACTCTTTCTCCTCATCTCCAACCGCTGGATGGTCTGTAGGTGAACTAGCTGTTAGCGCAGCACAGATCACTGCCATAGAGAGAGTTGTCATTGCCAAGGAGTAGAATATTAATTCCCATCCAAGTCTTGCTTCAGAAAGTATGCCGGCGACGTAAATGGATATTATAACTCCGACTTGAAGACCTGAAGACAATTTGTGGCATCAGTGAGCTTTTTTTAAATACAATAATCATACTAAAGTTGCAGTTGAAATGGCGTAACTTAAGACTAATTATGATTCTTAATGAAAAATATTACACGAAATCTTAAAAAGCGTCAAAATTAATATTTAATTCACCATACAAAAAACTCATTATTTATGAAAATAAATTTTAAGTTAAAAGAATAATGTCACATCTCGGTTACACAGTGACTAACATTTTAATATTTTTTTACTGTAAAAATGTAATATCAATGCATAATATTTTAATATAAAATACTGTACTTATTAGACAAAGAAAATTCAAAAACTTCACATTTACATTCTTAGAATACGGTGTAGTTTTTTTAATTATTGATTAGTGATCATATATGAGGCGCTAACTAATGTTATTGCTTATCTAGAAAGAAAAGAAGAAAGATTTTCTTTCAGTAAAAAAAAATCAAAATATCAGTTACTAATTGAACTAAATTAGACGTTCCGATTTACAAATTAAAAAAGAAGGGAAAACGTGTGATAGTTTCTAATAATATTAAGTTACTAAAAATTAACAAATATAACTACTTTCAAGTTATTCCATAATACAGTCTGATATAATTTATCTAAATCCTAAATTAAAATTGAATAGCGCGTTCGACCTGCAATACTTTCGTAAAGGCCAGTTATAGCCATTAGTCCAGGCTGCATCTGCAGGCATTAACCTACACTGGGCCCAGGCGGTGAGTTACGGTCCGTTTTCCCTATTCGATTCGATACTATCAGGCTCAGATTAGGCTTACATTAGGCTCTATCCGAGCGACGGAGAGATTCATTGGTTGATAGTGCAATATTAAATAGTTCATCATAGCAAGTCATTTGAGTTTAAACTTTAATTTATTAAAAGTACAGAGTCAATAACTAAGCTTAATAATCAATAATATTGATTTGAAAAATGTTAAATATGAGTATGAGTTTAAAAATGTATACAAAAATGAAGTCAAAAATGTTTTTCAATTTACCTCCGTAAACAAAGCTACTGCATAAATAGCTTTCATTTGGCGGCATCCAGTTCTTCAAAAGACTTTGGTTGGCTGTATTCAAGCATGCTTGTGTCATTCCCATCATGAACAAAGCATTGCAAGTGGCGATCCAGCCACCCTAGCAAAAGAAAATATAAACTCTTTGTTAAGACAAAGCTTAAGAAATAGAATAGTTTTAAATTGAATTTAAAACCTGAATAAGATTAATTGGTATAGCTTGACAGTACCAACGGAATAGCACTACTGAAGATTTTATCTTGGTCTGTAAAGAATTGCAAGAACGAACGCAAGAATGCAATTTAAATCTCATTAACTGAACTTTAGTTTTCAATCTTAATTACTATAAAATATGTGCTTTTGCGAATCACGAACGTGATTAATTTATTGAAAGCAATTGCATCAAAAATATAGTTTTTTTTTCATAACATTTTACTGTCATAAACTTTAATGTTCATTGATGTTGTAAGAAACATTAACAATTATTATAGACTAGTTTACAGTTAGCTGCTTCTTGCGCGTGATTTACACGATTTCCTGACTGCACACCTCTAGGGAAACTTTTAGTGGGATAAAAGTAACCTGTTGACGATTAATGGTTGAAATGATAATGATAGTCATACCCTGTTCACAATATTTGGCATCGTCAAACACAGGGCGCCGTTAACGGCGAGTATCGTGGTCGTTATCGCTTTGCCATTAATTTTCTCCAGTATCAAGTCTGCTGGCACCAAGAGGGCGGCGTACCCAAAGAAGAATGATGACAGAACAGTACCGTGCATCCTGTAGTCCCAGTTGTGAATCTAAAGACAGAAGAATTGTATATATATACTGCAGCAATTTTAAAATTGTTATCACAATGTATTACTCGTATTGGTGATAATATGAGGTTGTAATACATTGCCAATGCCCAGCAGGGGGCGTCAAACGGCTGATATAATGATTGGTGATAATATAGAAAAGTGCTATCCTAAAATGAAACCCTGTTCTACACTTAGAGATGACCACGCGAGTAGCATGCATGACATGACGATTTTTTTTTTGTATTTTCATTTATTGTTGATTATAAAAACTATATACTTCATGATGAGGTTATGAGGTTATATGACTATATGATGAGGTTGTATTTCATCAATAATTACAAAGAGCATGCAGATAAAAACGAATATTTATTGATATTAAAACATTGCCGATCATTCCAATACTATTAATGCGTACACACATAATATTGCACAAATACTTTGATATTGACTTAAAAAAGATCTTGTAAAGTCGATATAAGGTTTCCTTCATAAGCAGCACCGGGCTTTGTTTTCATCCAGCAACAGAAAAAGTTATTTGGATATAATTTTATGAAATTACTTGAAGACTAACCTGTATGTTAGTATCGTTTCTCCGTGAGACATCATTGACAGCCATCACGGCTATTCCTATGCTCCCGCGCACAGCGCCCATTGCGGCCGAACAGGCGGCCATGTATATAACTTGGAGATGACGAATGCCAATTTTGAATCCTGTCGAAAGCAACTCTCTTTTAACCATCAATGTTTAAAATATACTCTGCTATATAGTTCAGATCTTCAGAAGGTATTTCAGCTATTATACTTATGTTCTTTGATAAAATCAGTTTCAAACTCGATGGGCTGTGACAGCCAAGAATTTCAATTAAAAATAACCTTTATTACCTTTGGAACAAGGTTTAATTTGGCTAATTGTCTATGACTTCGACCTCGACATCAACTGCTGATTAGATAGGGAAGAAATTATAAATTGCATAGGTACGAAACCGTAATAAGACCTATCATACTGTATGGAATGGACACTTACCGTAAAGTAGGAATACAAACTATTGCCCTCTTATCCAAACTGGTAGCTTAAAAAACGCTGGTTCGGTAAAAGTATAATTGGTGATGGGAAGTCAAAAAAAAAACTAAGATCTCATCATCTCCAAGATCAACACAACAGGGACTATGACTATCTTTTTAAAGACTAGCTTTTACCAGCAACTTCTTTTGCGTGCTAGTAGTATTATATTACAGTTGTTTATTTTAACCCAACAAAAAATTTAAAATTTGACTATTTTCTGGTATTCTACACATTTTTATAAGCATGTTCTTGAAATAATCCTATTAAAACTTTGTTGAAATTAAATCATCATATTGTTTGTACATAAAACACTGAGAGAACTACATCGCCTTAAATATCTGGATGATGTAGTTGCCACAAAAGAAAATGTAAAATGAAAATGTTTATTTTTAAACAGAAACAGACGTAAAATTATTCTTATTTTTGCAAATTCAAACTTAACTTGAAGTCGGACTTGTAAACAGTAAGCCATCATAACGTCGTCCGAATCCAAGTTGAGTTTATTGAATTTGTAAGTATAAGAACTTATTATTAGATTTTTTAAAGTCGTTTTCACTTCAAGTTTTCATCAAATTTACTTTCTTTTTGAATTGATCTAAATAAATTATATTATATTATTTATTTTAAAGTAAAGCCGAAGCATGTTTATGTAAAAAATAAATAATAATCTACCCCTTACAAACTTCTACCAGTATTTTAATTCCTTCGTCGGACTCCGGTATGTAATCGACCTCCGTAGCCGAGTCTTTCGCACGCCGGTTTCAAGGTGTCGCCATCTCTGAGGTTCCGGGTCCGATTCCCGGTCGGGCCATTATAGAAAATGAACTTTTCTGTTGTGATGAGATTCATTTTAGAGTTCTCTACACAAATTACTAAGACTCCACTGTCCGTCCCTCCATCGGTCTGTCCATCTGTCACTACGCAGTATCTCATGAATCGTGATATATTACTTACTGTAGGCGCTAAAATTACAAATTACAAATAAAAATTACTAAAAATAGAATAAAATAATCATTTAAGGCGTTGACTTACTACCAACGTGTGTTTTTTTCTCGTTTACGGTGCGGAACTCCCCTTGCGCAAGTTCGACTCGCATTTGGCTGGCTTTTATTTATTTTTTTTAACAATGCACACAGCTCATGTATATTTCTGTTATTTTGTTGGGCCAAAATATACTGCCGTAAGTAATCTTCCGAGTTTCTGAGCTAGTGTGAATTGAAATTTTGTTTAACGCATTAATTGTAACTTCCCTTCGTTTCTCTATATGATTCTCTATATTATCACAAGCAAAGTTTTAACGTTAGCTTATTTATGCTTCCAGCCCGGTTTAAAAGAAGTCGCTTTGTCGTATTAAGTGTTCATACATTCTCCCTTGTCTATTTGCTTTAATTTTCAGTAGATCTACTCCATGGCGTAATTAGCTTCGATTTTAATTACATTGAATTTAATCAAAGTTCACTCATCATTCGTTCAATTGGGTTCAACCCAATATATTAAACATATTATACACGAATAACCATATCGAAGTCAACGTAGTTACGCGGTAACCCTAGGCGCAGCCGTCTCTTTTTGTTGACGATTCCAAGCACTTGTTTAATTGACTGTAGTTTCGTCCAGCTAATATTTTATATCCTTCTCCAATACTACATAAGCCACTAAACTACTCCGGATAATTTTCTTGGATACGTAGACGACCTCAAAAGTAAAAGTTAATTATTCTTTATTAAAATAAATAATTTGGAAGGACTTTTTAATCATTCAACATTTTATTAGAAGAAACTAATCAGCTCTTGACATTAGTAACAACAATTACCTAGGTAATTATCAAACGAATAGTAAAATGAGTTCTATAAACCACTGCAACGTTATTTATACATCCAAATTTCAAGCTAAAAATGAATTAGTTATTATGTCAATTACTTAAAAGTTCCTGGACTAACAACCGTTGAAGATACTCAAGAATATTAAAGAAATATTTTACAATATCGATTACATTGCTTAGAATCACAACTAGCTCGAGACTGTGTTATTATAATCTGAAACAACGAAAGTATTTCAACACTCAAACCCGGGACAATGTAAAAAAGATAATTTTCTACGTTGACTCGGTCGGTATTAGAAAATATAATTGTCAATGTTGACTCGGTCGGTATACTGAAATTTGCATGCGAGCGCAAAACATTGCAAATGACACTCACTAGTTTTAGTGATGACCCCATCATGTCGATTTTCATACTGATACCTCAGGAATTCCACGTCCATTTCATTGAATCAGTTTCACACATTACACATAAAAATGATTTTCTAAACATTTGACACCGCTTGGAAAATAATTAGTTTATACTCGTACTTATCGCATTGTCTCGTTACTTGTATTAACACATCTCACTTTACCTTATCTGTTATTCAATAGTGATGTATCTATATTTACTATATTACTAGTAAAATACTAATAAAACTTAATATATTTACTAAAAATATTTCAAAATCATATGTTTTATTTTTATTAAATGTGAATGTGTTTTATTTTTTTTTAATCTTAAAGATACAAAACAAAAGCATGAAGACGCTCCTAATTTATGCTTGGCAACAAAAAAAGGTTATTATATTTTTTATATGTAAAAAAATGTATTCTCTATCTTACAATATTTTCTGTTAATGTTAGATTTTTTTTTACAATTATTCACTTGAAGTTATCTATTTACGATAACTTCAAGTGAATAATTGTATTAGTTTATAAAATAAATTAAATTCATAATACTAATTCTGCGCCTTGTCTTTCAAACTTTTTTTCACTTTGCGTACTTTCATCATAAAAGAATCCTCTCATCCAACTTCAAGCCTCTAGCTTAAGTTGTTTTATCTCGACATTGATGAATCAGCAAATTTTATCCCTGCTACTGCGCCAAGAGTCTACCGTCGCCAATTCCAAGGTTCGTAGTATTTTACAAATAAAATATCATGCCTCGAGATCGAGATGTTGGTCGTTCTAACATTATCAAAAGCTACTCATTCATGTTACTATAATTATTTATTGTTTTTTTTTTTTACTTAAGACCATCAATATCTATGTAAATCTACTAACCACAGAGTTTGTAGTAGATGATCAGAAATATTTACTCTACTAATAAATTGTATAATTAAAACAGATAATGTCTACTCAATATTTTTAATAAATAATTTTAATTTTTTATCCATTATATATTATTACATTTTTTTACGAAATAAAAAAAATCACAATAAAACACAAATTATCGAGGAATACAACACCCCAACACTACTTCTTAGTGAATATTTGTATAACAAAAATAATTAACTATTTACTACTATCAAGGCAAGACCTTATATATGTTTCTGAAGAATACAAATTTCACTTCTCATCCTATTAATGTAAAGAATACAATTGCTTGAGAGAATTCAATGTCAGATGTTGGTTGTATTAGATTTACCTCCAGATTTGTTGGTTGATGATATTGCGACGTGTACGAGTCTACCGTCATTATAAAAGGAAATGATAAGACAGATGTAAAAGTAGTAAGAAATTATTTTATATATATTTATTTTGTGTATGTTTCAAGAGACATGCAGATAATTATGCAACACATAAAGATTCTGCTTTTGCGACATATTTGTCTTTTCATCATATTTTCTAAAACAATGCCATGGATTGTGACGGGTTTTGCTCCCCGGTGTTGGTAGTAAATAAAACGGCTGACTAGGCTTGACAAGTAGGTATACTTATGGTGTAAACAAAACACTAACAACAAAAAATAAAAAGATTATAAAAACAGGTCGCAATGGATGTTTCAAATTATTTATAAAACAATTGCATACCCCGTTTATGGGTTTGATTTAATGTGTAGAACTTAGATATATTTACTTTATACAATTTCATATATTAGGTACTGTTAGAAGAATTTTCACGAACTGAAATTCAGAAAGAGTACATCGCGTAACTCAAATTTTCAAACTACAAAAACTGAATAATAAAAAAAATATGATCATAAAGAGCAATGACTAAAAGTTTGGATACGGGAACCTAGGACAAAATAAAACGGTGTGTTACACGCATAGTAACAGTATGTTGATCCGATAAAAAAACTTTTTTATTTGTATTTTGTTACTTTATTATCTACTTAGGTTGTTTAATATCATTACAATATCATATTTGATCAATTTTGCATTTAGAATGCTGTACTGGTACCAACCTCAGGTACTCTGAGATGGGATAAGATCGGGGGGTGTTCGTGTCCCATACCAGAGTACCTGGTGCTAGTCGATTTTTTTCAATATCATTAAAATATATATCTCAAATTCAAAATAAGGTGTAATATTGAAAAAATGAGAGTGACTAGATTAGGAATCGAACACGAAACTTTAGAAATGACACCTCGGAACCGGTAAGCGAGGCGTTGCGATAAGTTAACGAGACATATTTTTGTTATTTTATAATTAAGTAATAGTTAAAACGTCACTGATAAGCCATAATTACGTTTACATTATCGAAATTGTGTGAACAAACCTGGCTCGAAGTAGCAACGCTAGATTACAACTAAAGATGGCATTATAAAACAATCTGGAGTTCTTTTATCGACGCAAGAAATATGAAACGTTATCATGTATAAATTAGATAACGAAATAATGTGAAATCTATTTAAAGTTAGCTTTGCATCTCCTGATAACATAGAAGAATTCCAACCTTATAAAAAAAGGATCCAGATGAATGAAACTTAAATATACGTTGTATGCTCAGAAATAATCTTTCTCGCCCATAACGTTTGGTTAGCTGGATGAAATTTCTACTAGAGATAAGTCCAACTCTATGGTTGCTTCACTTGACTATGTTATGTATTTTTTTTTTGTATTATAGTACTATTAAATTTCCAGTAATCGTATAATAATATAATTTTAAAAATGCAAATATAAACAGTTACTTCAGTTTAGTTTTTATTTTTTTTATATATAAAATAGAGGGCAAATGACTGCGCTCCACCTGATGGTAAGCGGAGGCGTAGTCCAAACGCGAGGACAGCTAGTGAAAACAGTACGTAGGTACTGCACTTGCCAGCCTCACCTTGCCGACCTGCAAGGTGCTTCTTCACGCCCCGCTTGAAGGACCCTATATCATAGGAACGAGGCAATATATGAGCCGGGAGACAATTCCATTTTTTGGAAGTACGACAAAGAAATGAGTCGCCAAACTTTGTACGCGAAGGAATCGTTGCCACAGTTAGTTGGTGGCAACGCAAACCAGCACGTGTGGTCCTGAGGAGGAAGGGAGATGGGGGGATAAGGGAAAAGAGTTCTTCAGAGCATTCACCATGGTAGAGACGGTAGAAATATATACGTATAACCAAATATATTTTGACTGTCAAAACTGGGGCAGTTTTTAATTTATATAAAAATATACAAATCTACTGATGCAATTATTACATTTGATCAAATTTGCGTTCACAATGCTGTACTAATAAATATATTTCATGGAAAATGCGTCGAGTCCCATCTCAATGTATCGAGAGTTGATTTTTGAGCATTTTTATGGGTGCAATTTTTAACAGTGAAATTTTCATATATGATTTTTCACATAGTACAAATGATTATTTGTACTAGTGTGCAAGCACTTTTAGTTTTAAATATAGTTCAAAATGTTGCACGAAAGATCTTCATTGTTTTTCAGTGAATAGAGAATCATTACTGAATCGATCATATAATGTCAGCCTTAGTTTTAGTAATAAAGACATATATTTTTTGCACCAAACTTTAATGATCTAGAAGTATAGTCAAACGCAGATCAGTCAATATTTATGCGAAGCGCATTTTCTTAACAATATTAAGATTAAAAAAAAAATTACAAGCAGGAAATAGTTGTAGTCAACTTTTGATTAAATTATGTCGTCACAATTTACATTAGTTATTCTAAAAGCTGTTATAAATCAGCACCGAATTTAACAAAGCGCTGTCATTACCTTTTGAAGCAGATTATATTTGATTGGTCCTGTACCCTACAGCAATTTTTGTGGTTGAAAATTCTTAAATAGCCCTGGTCTAAGGATCCTTAAACCAGGGATCTCCAATCACCCCGCCCTGTAAAGGGCAGGTTAATGTAACAGGCTTACTTGGAAAAACCTGCTGCAGTTCTCCTCCTATGGATAGGAAGAACCCGGTAATCTGCCAGGAGGGCATAAACTCTATAACAGCTCTGCGTTCGACGGCGAGATGGTGTTTTTATAACAGAATAGCACTATAGTGAAAAGTTGTTCGTCATACAACAAACAAGGACTACCCGGAAGAAGGATAAATATCTCACTAAGTCATATAAATGACTAAATATATTTATATAAATGTTATTGTTGGTCTACATATATCAACTCTTTATATTTCAACAAGGTAATTAAAAACATATTCTTACTTATTCGTGGTTTTCGTGATTACATCGGCGCTGGTAGGCATCCGTATTAGTAGTATTATTATATTGAATACCTATAGCTCTGTACCTGCTATACTGTATGCTAGAAGCAACCGTCAACATCACCAGCCCTTTTACTTCCCCACTGCAGGGGCTCAGGCCTTCCTTATGGATGGTTAAGGAGCATGGGTTATGACCCTCCACGCTGACCCAATGCGGATTGGAGGGTAGCAAGGAAGCAACCGTATTTACTTATTAATCTTTTTTTGTTTGTTTTGAATTACGTAGGTTTTACAGTTATTTTGTGGATAACGTTTTGCTATTATTATGGTTGTGCAATTTATTATTTATCTCTAAATGTACAAATTGATAAAGCATGTATTGTACATATTGTATGCTGTCCTAAATAAATCAAAAAAATGTATGCATAGCTTATTTACAGTTATCGGTTTGTCATGGCTATTATGGGCATTATGGCATGGCAGTAGGACCACAATGGCTACAATAGACTTGTTGGCCAATTTAATTGAGCTGTTAACAGTTGCAGTTGTTTCAAAATTTTTATTTGTTGGAAATGTGTTTTATTGTCATGTAAAATTTAATTCGAAGAGAGAAAAATATCGTCGATTCATTGATGAATGAAATAATACACAATATTTATAGATTCGAGTATATTTAATATCAATTTTTCTTTTCTCCTTCTTTATCTTCTTTGGTGTAATTATTGTCCTTCAATACTGGTTTTGTTTCCTCTGAAAAAAAAATAAATTGAGCGATTTATTTTAAGGTTATTATATTACACAATACATTTTTCATTATAAATATTATCTTACTAAATAATAATTCCTTTTTATAGATAAGTGTAATTTAATTCTACTCAAAAGATAACTTTGCTATTTATTTCCATAAATCAATCACTTCTCTAGGCACAGTTTACGTAGTTAAGCTAACGTGTGTTCCTCATATTACTGGAAAAATCTTGTTTTAACAAATATAACTTTTGTACTTCACATCACAATATTATAGAGAAAATGTATGGAAATTATCCGTAGCCGGCAACTATAGTCGAGTGGTTAGTACGCCGGTTTCAAGATGTCACTATCCCCGGTTCGATTCCTGGTCGGATGAATATAGAAAATTGACTTTTCTGTATTATCTTGAGTCTGTGTGTAATAGTACCTTTGTCGTCTCATATACTCGATAATAGGGCTTTAACTACTCATATTTAAATATGAGCAATGTATGTAATGTTATATTTAAAAAAATATATGAACAAAAGATATAGACCTCTCTAATTTTAGTCAATGCAAACTTCTCTTTCAAAAATAGACCGCATACATCATCTAGAGATAGGTGCCAAAAAAAAAGAACTAGGAGAATTATATAAAAGTCAAGAAAACTAAAAATATTTGTCAAGACCTTACCTTGCAGCGTCTGGTGCGTTTTCCCCTATACGTTTGTTTTTACAGAAAGGTTTGGCATGAAGTTCTTATTAAATTAACAGTGATAACTAACTAGAGCAGATCCTTCTTAGACTACATGTTATTAATATTGGTGATAAATCTATTGAATGTATTGATGTTGATCAAAATCAACACGCTTACAGTATAAAAAAATAAACAGAATATCATATATTAAAGACAACCAACCTGGGTCAGCGAACTTTTTGTCTATTATGTAGTTGGGATCGTCCCATGGCTGCCTTTCGCCTGTGCCAAATATAATAAAGATCACGTTACAAGCAACGCACAGTCCTGCCAACAAGAGGAACACAATTCGCCACCGGCTGACATCAGTCTGAAAGAGAAGTATTACACATTATTGTAATTTCCTCTATCTCTAAACGAGTAATGAATGCCTTAGAAAGGAAAATAAAATGTAGAATATGTCGCTGTCGCTATTCTGTGGAATTATAGAAATCTTATGAGGGAATGGCTTTATAACTATTTTCTGCCCTTGATGTTACTCAGATATCTATTCATTCAGCAAAGTGATATTTGTGCACGCTTAATTATGCAATAAAGCATATAAAAATAATTTAACTAAGCTGCTCTAAGGCTTGCATTGTAAATTAAAAGCGCTTTCTGTCAGATGCTATTCATTAATTCTATCATACCAATGGATTTAAGTGTTGATTGGTATCAGTGTGAATAAAAAAAAATGAGACAGCATCACATATACTGCTCAGATTCCAAGATGAGAAGCTAAAGCCTCCGTATTATGCATAATTTGAGAGGTAACACAACACCCAGACCCGAAACAATATAGAAAAGTTTAGTTTCCACGTTAATCCGATCGGGAATCAAACCCGGGACCTTCTTGATGGCTACATCTTGAAACCGGCTTGCGAACCATTCGGCTACGTCAATAAGGAATATTACTCACTGAGTCGTTTCGTAAAATAGCACTTGTTATTATTGGAATGACAGCGCATATCAAAGTAACAATGCAGTTCAACAGACACATAATGACACCAGCATAATTCGGCGACAAATCCAATTGGTTAACCTTAAACAAAAATAACATCACATAATTAACAGAAGTTTCTACATCTTTGAAACCATCTCTATTTACTCTCAAGAAACAAGAAATTAAAAATATTGCAGTACCCTTATATAAGGTGTAATATTATTATATGCAAGGACTTCATGGAGTGAATGAATTAAGTATACTGACCAACTTTTACTATGGGAGGAACACTGAATTCACCAAAAAATAATCAGCTAACTCATAATTGTAGGTATTACAGTTTTGTATAAAACGGCTGATTATGTTTTCGTGAATTCAGTGTTGCTCCCAAAGTAAAAGTCGATCAGTATACTTAACTCATCCATCTCACGAAGTCGTGGCATATAATATTCGTAATATTACACTTTATATACTTTTTCAATCATTTTTCAGTCGAAAAAGTCCCTCATCAAAATGATCACCGAAATAATCAATTTAGAAAAGTTAAATGTACATTTTGAAGTTTATAATTTAATACTTACGATAAAGCCAGCTGTGCTGAACCCCTCCGCAGTTAAACAAACTACTGCTGTTGCTACAGCCAAATATTTTTGTTCTGGGCCAAAGAAGGAGAGCACCACCAACGCTATTGCGATGCCAAATAAAGCTGCATAAAAAATATGAAAGGTTAAGTCACAAAAATGAGTCGGTTTAAGTAGTTGGTTTTCCAAAAATTTATAAATTTGAATACTTTAAATATACAGTTATCAACAATATACAGGTAATCTCCCAGGACTAGCCTACATCATGAACAACATTTTTTTTCTACCAGATTTGATAAACTTCGACAGGCAACACAGAACGGTGTTCAAAATAAGCAGGCGGAAGACATTTTGTACTAAAAGTTTTTACTTTTTACAGATTGATCTAACGTGCCATTGAAGTATCGCAATGGTCAACGTCTGATGTTTCTAACTCAACTATATGAATGCATCATTTTGTCGAAAGTATCAACTTCACCTTTTGTTGAATTGTAATCATGAATTATTACTGCTTAATTTGTTTATGGATTTATTCCTACTTTACAATGCATCATAGATAATACATCAGATTTTTTGTGTGGTGTAACAGCTACAAGAGTCTTTTGCTGATCGAAAGTGAACTTAGAAGTCAGAGGTCATTTGTTTGTCTTAGGCAAAAAAGCAAGTAGTATATCGTGGTTTTAACGCATCGTACCAATAAATGTCAGCTGATCTTCTTTCAATAATTCATGGGCAAGTGGCACAAATGTGAACCTTTGATACTTTTGACTAGTTTTTTACACAATCTGCCGCTGTTTTCCTTTTCTAATGTAAGAAATCGCATCATACTTGTACAAAATTAAAGCTATTTATGTAGCACAGACCTTTTACATGTTTGAATGCAAAATTTAGATCAATTTGTTGTTATTATATTATGTTTTTCTCAACTAGCTAGCCTACTGGTGTTTAAAAAATAATCATATATAAAAGCGACATCTTTTAACTCTATACTAAGTATATTATTACTGATTTTGCAGAATTTTTGAAATTAAATGACACTAACATATCGATTGAAACACTTTTCTCAATGTTGTCACAGTCACCAAATTTTTGTTGTAGATCTTCTCTGAGATCGCGCTGGAGATGGTGCTCCCCAACCACATACCGACATATGGCAACGCTGCTAGTAGAGCACTCTGTAAATATACAAGTTGGGTTAGGGTGTTTTCAAGGATCTCATGATAAGGAAATGGTAAAATGAGATGATAAATTAAGAGAACTCTTTATGTTACTGGATAGTGTAACCTGTATAAATAAAACAAAGTAATAAGATGAGGAAATGGAGAACAATAATATCATCTAAATAAAAATCTTAAATAAAGTAAACAAAGCCTTAAATAAAACAAAAAACCCAACCACATTATTTGGTGATGATACCAAAAAATTTCGAAAACATTAATGTTGTAAACAAACAAAAGCATTACGTACGTTCTTTAATGAAATTCTTAATCCTTTTTCTAAGTATGTGGGAAGATCAACAAAGAAAACTAGGAAGCTGATTCCAAAGCCGATGTGTGGTGCGAGGAGTGCCCATACAGCCTTCGATCGCAGTATATGCTTCCACGGTGTCGGTGGCCGTTTCTGAATAGTATGAACAATATTTTTTAATTCGCTTATGAGCATTAATTGTTTAAAGTAAAAGAAGGTAATGAATTTGATAAAGGTGTTTTTTTTTTCATATTTAGTTTCTTCATCATTATTGGACCGATTCTCATGAATCAATTGTTTCTAAATTATTTTCACACGGGGTTTCTATAAACTTGTATGAAGTCCATAATAAATTTATGAGATTTAACTCAGCAGCCATTTTATAAACCTTTGTTTATTTTATAAAGCTATTATTCCATAAAGTGAGAATTCAGAGTATTATCTAGGTGCCAGTTCACATTGCTATTGTCACAAAAAAATGTTTTTTTGACAAAAAAAGTTAAAAACAATATTTGATGTCTAAAAACTAAAACTTATTTTGATATCGGTTGGTATATTATTACACTACGAAATAGAAGTATTACGATATTTTAATCATTTCAAGTGCTGTCATAATTTTACATCAGATATTAATAAAAACACCTAATATCTGACTGATCTTGCTTAAACGTCCACTAAAATTGTCATTAGTTTAAGGCGATATTACCCATACACATTTTTAAAAGAGTATTCATTAGAATGAGGAAGTATTTAAAAAAAAACATTAGTTCCCGAAATCAAACTAGATGTCGCTACGGTACGTTCTTGATTTCTCCATGACAACCTTTCCGGTTATCTTTCGTGTTTAAAAGTAAATAAGTTTTCCAAACTCAATAAACAACTCATATTTTATTTGTACTTTTTCGTATTTGTATTGATATCTAAGTTTCGAACTTTTCAAATTTCAGTTTTTCAATATGTTAGTTAAAAGGAACGGAAATGACTGGCTTTGGTCCATTCGTTTCCTGCAAAAATCAACTTCAACCATCTAGTGGAGGTGATTTTTTAGTACTTTCGTTTTTTTTTATAAAGACTTCCTCATTGTAATTAGACATTAAACTTGTGATAACATCATAATGAATGTTTGTGCAACTGGGCATATGACAGTATTATTTGCCACACATTACTTTGAGTTGTATTCTTTTATTGCATAAATCTAAACTAATACGGGTGACCTGTGTTCTGTACGATAACAATGTAATTATGAACGTATGTAAGTACATATAGTTAAAGATAACATAATACAAGTACGATATGGACTACTTGTCAAATATAGACAAAAGTCAAATAAAACTATTGGTTACACAGAAATATATGGTAGCAACTTTCGCAATAGGGTGCTGATTACTTATCTCGAATCTCTTCTTGTCTCATTAGTCTGCCCCTTTAGAGGGGAAAGATGAGCAATAGGGCTATCTCTTTTCCTAGAGGGAATGCGGCATTTATCATCTACAATACCATCATCGGCAATGACAAAATTCCTCAGGAGGTATTAATGCTCCATTTATCAACAAGAATAATAATATTCTGATTCTTACCGATTCCGAAACATTCAATCCTGATTCAATATACCGTTTCTCCTCTTCACTAATCCATCGATGTTCTCTTGGACTGCTAGCACCACAGAAATACCAAATTATTAAATTCCCAAACAAAATAGCAGAAGTTACGTAAAAGATAAGCTTCCATCCCAAACTAGTTTCAGCGAGGTAACCACACAAGGGCATAGCAATAATGGTCCCGAATTGCACACCTGTGGAAGACCAAACGAATATATAAATATTGTAATTCAAGAGGATTGAAATATGTTATCGAAATTTCTATATTTTTGAGTTTGAACTAAAACTTCGAGAAAATGTGATAGTATAATATTTAAATTATGGTAGGTATGTTTCAAGGTTCCAGAAGGTGACAATATTTTAAATTATCTATTTCATTTATTTAAACTCTTTAAATACGGTTTCCAATATAATAACACTTACTATTGTATTTATTAGTACAATGAAATCCAAGTAGGTTATTCAAAATTCAATACATACATAGGTATATATTGCTAAATATTCCAAGACACATCTAGTATCAAAGAGTAGATATATAAATATATCTATATCTTCATACGATATAGGTATCAGATACAACCGAGGTCCATAAGACAGTCTATAGGCTCGTCTTTCACTTCTTGTCATTCATATGCTTGCTGCTTTTATGGCTTCTGACGTTACGTTATTATTGGAAGGTGGGTCTTACCTCCAAACACAATACCAGTACTTTTGGTTCTCTCACTGGCAGGCACCCATTGTCCAATCAGTGTTTGAATTGAAGAAAACAAGCAAGCTTGTGTCAAGCCCATCATAATGCGAGCGGCGCATACCAGCATCCAGTCTCCCTGACATCCAAACGAACAGAAATTTTTTAAAATTAAGAACTAATATTTCAAACAGTCAGGTTAGAGGTTAAATGATACCAGCAATATTTTGCGATGTCATTTAAAAGATATGACGCGTGTAGGGTTTTGTCCTACATCTATGGAAAGTTTGCTGTTCGAGGTAAACGACGTCACTGTTTTTATAGTTTATTTCACAAATGTTTAAAATAGTAAAAAGTTGTTATAAATGTTTGTTAGTTGGTGGCTTACGCTTAACTAACTCTAATAACAATTAAATTACATTATAGCGGAAAATGCTGATCCGCATAAATACGTACTTTGACTCGAGCCACTTATATTGTGCGGTTGCATAACCGTACATGCTCCCGAGGGCGAGATAAAACATTATACAATTATAATTATAAAGCAATAAAAATGATAAGCTATTATTTGAACAAATAATAAGTATTGTCTATATCTTATAAAATTAATTTTACACAATGCACAGCACTAATCACTGTCACTGAATAGTTTGTTAATAACAACCGGTGACGTCGCTTTATTCACACGAGCGTACAGGTTCGATTCTTGACTCATAGTTTCATCGAGAGTACGGATGGTACTAATCTGTCTTTTAGACACATGTGGACGTTGAGTGAGAGGAATTGGAGGCTCTGTGGATGGTTCATCTTGTCCTGTAGATGAAATTGTTGCAGAACAGCGCCTACGACCGCGCCGCCACAAGTAGGTAGCCACTGCCAGGAGGATTCCTCCAGCCAGGACGTATAACACAACGTACTGGTGCACGTCATGTGTAGTGAGAGAGTTCAGGACTTCATCGTTCTCGTCCTTCTTCATTTGTTGGATACGTGTGTCTATTACTTCCAATTCTTGTCCATATGTTCCATACTCTGATCCATTGATACCTTTAAGTTCAATCAAAGGTATACTTGTGTTAAAGATGTTATTAATTGGATGTATGTCGACCTTGAGAACAGGTGATTGTACTGTCAGGCTATTAGTTTGTTGAGTATGCGAATATATTGTGAAGGTTTCGCCCTTGATGACGCAGCCTTCCCCGAGTGCGATAACGCCGGCCTTGCTGATGCGCTCAGATGCAACTTGATCCTCGCATATGATTCTTATTGTTCGTTGTCCGCAACAGAAAAATAAATATGTATTTATTTTATTAAGCTGTTTCCACATGTCCATACACATTAAACGTTTTGTTTCGCATTGATCTGTATATTTTATCTTGACGCAGAGATTTTCGTCTGACTTAAGGTGATAAATTGGATGTTGTAAGGGGCACATAAGAGTTTTGTAGTTATAAGGCGTACATAATCGTAAGTCAGATTCTGTAATTGGTATGTAAGCATCTTTCTTTAAGTTTATGGCAACATAATCAGAGAGCGGTTTAATTTTTGCCATAAACATTTGTTTTTCTTGAGGAATAGCGATCAAATTGTAAATATCGTAATTATCACGAGTCACGAGAGGTATAGTAATTTCAAATATAAAATAATTCAATGTAATTCTTGCTTTAACACTCAGTAAATGATAGAGTGATCTCAAATCGGCTTGTATATCGTCAATTGGGAGGGTGAGGTCACTTGAAAGATGTCCCGAAATAAAGTTCAGTTCTTCGGCTAGTTGCTTGGGACTCAATAGATGAATGTCGAATTTTCCATAATGAATTTCTGTGATCGTATCCAGTAATGTTTCCTGAAGTCCTTTTAAGTTTTCCAAAATATTATTAGCTATAATAGACGTCAATGTGAAGTCACTTATTTTTTCTATGTCTTTCATTTCTGTGGCTATTGTGTTCACTGCCTTATCGAGTTCAATAATGTGTTGATTATACATTTTATGCTGTCGCTCTATAGACAGTTCTACTCTTTTTAATAAATTGTTTTCGGCTTCTACTATTGAAGTTTGGTTTTTCCAAAGTTGTACAAGATGTTTTTCATTATCTTTTATCAGTTTTATGTCATTCTCGTATTTTTCGGCGAATTGTTGGTCTAGTAGTCCGAACAATTTGTTTGCTGCGTATCCGATTCCATCGATAAGTCCCCTTCTTTGTCTTGAGCGTTGGGCTTGCTGAATAAGAAGCATGTCGCTGTAATAGTTTAACTCGGTGAGGCCGTGACGTAATTGTAACAGGATGACGTCACATTGGTTTCGTTGCTTTGAAGTGGCACATATATTTTCTAAGTTAGTTATGTAATGCTTGAAGGTTTGTATTCCGTGCCAATAAGGATCCATGTCATAGAATACGATTAGTTTCCAATCGTCGCGCACTAGGTGCATGTCCGTTATCTTATCGAAATACAGACTTTGGTTATAATTGAGATTTGTTAGGCTGTATTCACATTGAGCTGGTGATATTAGAATTGATAAAATAGACATGATAGTCCATACA